CACACACATCGAACTGGTGCAAGCCATCTGGCACACACTATGGCATTTACCCTTTGTCCTCTTCCTCACAGCAGCAATGTGCACAGATTAAAAAAAAAAATGTTGGTGTAGTGGTGCAGGTCTTTAATCCTGGCATTCTGGAGGCAGAAGAAAGTGGTGGATTTCTGTGACTTCTAGGCTGGCCCAGTCTACATAGTGAGTTCCAGGCCAGCAGGTACTATAGCATGAGACCCTGTCTCAAAAATAAAATGAATGAATTCATAAATAAAAAGACATTTCCTCAGCCTTCCTTGCAAAGAGGAAAGGCCACATGAGAGCTCTCATTAATGAGGTGTAGGCAGAGGATGTGGTAGGGGGACAGTCAATCACTTACCTCAAGGAGCTGGTAAGTAGCATCTTCCTTAAAGGGGTTTCAGACTGGGGTTACCTCTTCTTTTCTTTTTCCACAGAGGATGCAGACTTGGAGGCTGCAGCAGCCATTTTGTAACTAACCATGAAGGGCAGGAAAGAGAGTGGCAGAGGACTTTGTTCAAATGTCTCTGGGTTGTTTTACAGCCCCTAGAATTCTCACTTCTGGTTTTCTTTAAGCCATGGTTTATTTAGGTTTTGTGTTAAACGAGGGCAAAGCTAATCCTCCGGTGTGCCGAAGGATGCAGGCCTAGGGAAGAGAAGCGGCTACTGGAAACAAAACCGATGAAGATTTTAAAAAAAAATCACTGGAGGCTGGAGAGATGACTCAACGGTTAAGAGCACTGGCTGTTCTTACAGAAGACCAGGGTTCAATTCCCAGTACCCACATGGTACTAACAATCCAAAACTCCAGTTCCAGGGGAATCCGACATCCTCTCTGTCCTTCATGAGCACTGCACCACATGAGTGCACCTACACACATGTAGGCATAACACTCATACACACAAAAAAATAATAATGTAGTCATTTAAAAACTCTTTGTAATGTTCATATGAGTTTGCCTAAAATTCTTGACTTGGAGACAGAAACTGTATTCTCAGCACAGCACTATGAATATTCAGGAAAAAGAACATCGTCTTCTTGTAGTGAGGAACATGCATCGTGCCAGAGGCCCTGCTAAATACTGTGGAGGTGTCAGCACGCTTTCAAAGTGGTCAGCAGGAAGTCACTTAGCATGCAGGTGCCTTAGTTCTTAGACACAAAACAGAAAAATACCATTTATCTCCTACATTGGGTTTTTAATATTTATTGTTAATTATATGCATGCATGGGGGACAGTATATACATGCCTGTGCACATGCCTGCAGAGGCCAGAAGAGGGTGACAGATTCCCTGGTGCTGGTGCTGTAGATGGTTGTGAACTGCCCAATGTAGGTGCTAGGAACTAGACTCAGGTTCTCTGCAAGATCAGTGTGCTCTTAACTGCTGAGCGATCTCTCCAGCCCCTCACTAGGTTGTTTTGAGGGATTAAGGAGTTAATAACTATGTAAAGGCCTCAAAACAATGACTGGCAAACAGGAAACATAAAAACGGTAGCTAATCTTCATCCTCCTCCCCTACAAACTCTAATTCAATAGGTTCTGATGTCATCTAAAGATGATGGTGGTGGTGACATATACTTCATAGGGGTGTTCTGAGTCTAAAGAAACCACACCTCTCCTGGGTTCAGCCTTGTGTCCACAAATGCTTAGTAAGTGCCACCCACTGCGAGCCCCAAGTATCCCTTTCTCAAACTGCTCCCCAGCTTTTGGGAATCCCCCTCAACTCTAGCAATTCTCAGACCCCACTGGGGAATGTCAGTCCATTGATCCTATCATCTTTCCAACATCTCCAGGTCTTTCCTCCCTCCTTATCACCCAATCCCCTGTGGTCACTCCCTTTCCTGGGCCTTCGATTATCTGATCCTCTTTCCCCCTCCTTCACCCACCTGGAAAACCATACCACCACACCACCAGTGAAGCCCAGCTCAGCAATCTTTGGCCAGCTGAACCTGGAAAACTATCCATAGCCAGGGTGACAGCTTACTTCAAATGGGCCCTTAACAGTGCGGCCTGGCACTCTGACCCCATTTCCACACTTTCTTCACCCTCAGACTCTCAGGAGTGTGTAGAGCATTTTTCTCTCCTCCTCTCCTACTTGCCTGTCACCCATTACCATTCTCAGAAAGCAGAGTCCTGGGCCATTTCAGAGACTAGAATTTCACGCAGCCTGGGTGCATCTGGGTTTTTCTGCCTTCCCTCCTGGGCCTTGCTTTTTCCGTGCACCACTGCTCTGGGCCCTGGTCTTCCATGAACCCATGAAGTAGACTCAACTTCTGGGGCTCTGTACTTGCACTTTCCACTATTGGGAAGGTTGGAAACTATTAGTCAGGGTTCCCTAGAACACATCTGATGGAATGAATCTGAAAAGGGATTTATTAGACCAGCTTACAGGATAGGAGATGAGAGGGCCAACCAAGGCCACCTGCACACTGGAGAGGCTGAGAACTTAGTAGCTGTTTGATTCCCAGGGTTGTATGCCTCAGAAGTCCCAATATGGTGCTGAAGGTTTAGAGGGTTCCTGGAGAGCTACTGGTCTTCAGTGTATGTTGGAAGGACTAAGGAGCTGGGTTCCGACTGCAGGAAAGGACAGAGGAAGCCCGAATCACTCCTTTCTCATTAGCTCAGGTATGTGTTACAGTAAAGAAGGGGAGCAACCCAGGTGGTGAAAAGTGAAACAGCGACAGTCAGAGAAAGTGGGTATAAAATGTACCGAGGAGTGGCGGAGGGGTGGAAGGAACTGCGGACAGCCCAGGGTAGGCCTCTTTGAGGCACAAGCAGATGGGACTGAAGACTTGGGGTGGAGCAAGGGCCCTGGATATCTCTGGAAAGCGCTTTCCAGGGAGGGATGGCTGGTGCCTAAGAACTGAGGTGGGAGGAGGTTTGTCTAGATTGCTTTTAAAGAGCAAGGAAGCCAGGGTGATTGGAGGCAGGGGACCAGGCTGGAGTGGAACAGGATGGCTGGGAGGGAAGAGCCTTAGGGTCTCTACACACTGTGAGAACTAGTATTCCGAATGACATGGGAATGCAGAGATTCTTTTTTTCTAATAGAACAACTTTAATAGTGAGGTTAGTCAGAATTTTACAACTGTCTCAAAAATGCCCTTTTCCAAAGAGTATTCAAATTTTTATTAGCACTTAAAGAAATAACTTGCACAGGGGCAAAATAAAATTTTATAGTTATATGTAATATTAATAATTACTATTTGGGGCTACTAGGACTGCATGGCCATGTATAGTTTTCAAGAATTATTTAATGAACAGCTATACAATGTCACTGTATAGGTCCTCTCCCTTTAGATCTAAATCAAGAACCATGTACTGTCTTTAGTTGTCTTTTTTTTTCCTTGAACAGCTTTATTGATAAAATTCACACATCATGTAATTCACTTATTCTAAGTATACAATTCAATGGCTTTTTTACTGCATCCACACAGTTGCACAGTCTTCATCAAAAACTAATTTTAGAATAAACTTACCACCCCATAATCTTAAACTATCATCCCCAGATCCCTCAAATCTGATGCCTACCTCCAAATCTCAGGTAATCACCTGCAATTTGTATTTCTATGGATCTGTCTACTTTGAACATCTTATGTAAATGAAGCAGATAAAATTTGGTCTTTTGTGTCTACCTTCTTTACTTGGCATAATGTTTTTCTGTTTAGTTTGTTTTGCTCTTGAAACAGGGTCTCTCCTAGCCCATTCTGGGTCCACTTGCTAGGTAGCCAAGGATGACCTTGAACGACCTTGAACATCTGATCCCCCTGCTTCTACTTCCTTAGTGCTGGGATTGCAGGCATCCACCAACACACCTACCATACCTGGTTTTTTGCAATGACAGGGATGGAACCTATGGACTCATTTCGTCCAGGCATGTATCAGCATTCCATTCCTTTTCTGTAGTTAATAATGCTCCTGTGTATGGATATACCTCATGCTTTTCACCAAAGGAGGGTTCTGGACAGGGGGATGGTTCTGCAGGGCCTTTAAGCAGGCTCATTCCAGTTCTTGCAATGGCCAACTATGTCAAAGGCTGCTTTTAAGGAAGATAAGACGAGACCTCAAAATTGACCAGTACGTGATCAAATAGTTTAATGAAGAAAAGAATTTAATTAGCAGAAATATTCTTATGTATAATTTATAAATGGCATTTTATGGGTTTTTATGGGATTCATTGTATTTACTTTGAATAATTAAATATGGAACATAGATATAATACTTAAATAATTAATAAGCATTTGAGTGGAATGCTAGGCAAGTAAAGGTACAGGAATAATTGGAAAGTACCATTAATTTGCAGTGGCCTTTAGTACTTCCTTTATATTGCTGGTAACGATTTTTTTTTTCAGTTCATAGGGCATTTACTCCTCAGAATAATTTTTCTCTAACTATAACTCAACATTATAATTGTCCAATATTTCATGCCAGCTCCAGAAACTCGCCAAGAGAAAAATTGACTGTTGCAAGATATTCAGTGTCTGAACAGATCAGGTAGATGTGAGTTAGGTGTTGTTAGGGGTGGGGGCATGTGATCCAAAAGACTGGACCAAAAACGTGGAGTACTAAAAAGATATTGCCGATTCAAGACCAGCCAGGGTTACACAGAAACCCTGTCTACAAACGAAAAAGCGGGGTGTGTCTCTGTGTAGCTCAGTTGTAGAGGGCTTGCCTAGCATATATGAGGGTCTGGGTTCGATCCTCAGCACTTCATAGAATCGGATGTGGTGGCATATGCCTGTAATCCCAGTCAGTACTTAGGAGGAGCAGGCTGGATGATAAGAAGTTCAAGGTCCCCCCCCCTCCCCCCCATAATGGCCAGTTCAGATCCTGTCTCAAAAACAAACACCAAATATATTTCCTTGTGGCCTCTGTTATTTGGAGCCGCAAGGTTCATGGCAATATAGCTACCCACCCAGAGCTTGGTGCAAGCCACTGCAATAGTTCACAGGCTCTCCAATTTGGGGTAGTAGCAACTTGATCACCGGGCAGTGGTGAGTGTAGGGCAAGGAAGCCGAGTCGGTGGGCGCGGCGGTCCGGTTCACGAACATTTCAGAACGCAAATGCACGGGCTCGGGAACTTGACTTGCAGCTGGCTAAGTGGGCTGCACGCGGACCGCAGCCGGCGGGGAGGGTGACGGCAGGAGGCGGGAGCTGGCCGGGGCTCCGGGGCTCCTGGGCGCGGCCGGCCGGGAATTTGGAGAGGATCCCTAGTCCTCGGCGGCGGCGGGCGCGCGCGGTGCGCGTGTGAGCGAGGGCGAGCGGCGGGCGGGCTCGTGCGCCGGGTATTGGCAGGCGGCGGCGGAGGCTGGGCGGTTCCGACTCCCTGACGCCAGCGCGACCAGATCAATCCAGGCTCCGGGAGCGAGCGGGCGGAGGACGGCGAGGCCGAGCGGTCCGGGCGCGGGGACGGCGGCCCCGGGGCGGAGCGGAGCGGAGCGCGGAGCAGCGGCCCAGGGCCGGGACCCGGCGGCCGGTCTCGGGCGTCCCAGCCGATGGGCGCGCCGCCGAGCCGGTAAAGCCGAAGGGGACCTGGAACGGAGTCGCCCGGCGCCGCTCGGGGCGCACGGGGACGGGATCGGGGACGGAATCGGGGACCGGATAGGGATTGCGGACGGGATCCGGGACGGGTTGGGGCTCCGGCTCGGGGACGCGGTCTCCCCCCCCACCCCGCCCCCCATGATGGCGCCTCGCGGCTGCCGGGGCAGCGAACCTGCCACCTCGCGGGTCCGGCGCCCCGCGTCTTTGTCGGGCGTGCCCGCCGCTGGACCCCCGGGCCGCGGCCCCGTTGTGTCCCCCCGCCCCCCACCCGGGGCCGGGCTTCCCTGGCGGGGACCGCGCTGCGCTGTCCGCGCCTCTCCGGGGATGGGGAAGGACCGGTGCCTGCCACTCGGCGTCGCACGCGGGGGTCCCCTGGGGTCTCCGACCGGCCGGATTTGGAGATCGAGGTCAAGGAAAGTTCGCGCCGCAGTTCCCTCTGATTTAGTCAAAGGTCTGGCGGCGGCGCGTCCTTTTTTTTTTCCCTCCCTCCTTCCGCCTACACCCCCTGCGTCGCCCAGTGTCGCCTCATTCCTTTCCCTTTACCGGATTCGATTGCCTCTGCGTGTGCGTTCGGACTGCGCCGGCAACAACTGTTCCTGCCTCGCTCCGGGTCTTTGTTAGTGTTTCTGCCGGGAGGTGGGGGCGGTGGGCGTGAGAGCGGCGCCGGCTCGTTGGGCCGCTGGGCCGAGTGCAGCCGAAGGCTGAGGGGGACCGCGGCTCCTCGGGGCCGGGGAAGGACCGGTGCCTGCCGGGGTCTCACGGCTCCGGTCGCCGTGACTTGTGTATTCCGAGGCGCAGTTTTCTGCATGCACGGTGCAGAGCTACCTAGCAAAGAGCTTTGCATCTCAAAACCCCAGGCTGGCCAGAACCCACCGAGAAAGCATCGTCTGGTGAGTGCTGTCAGCACCGGCCTCTTTCTTTCCCTCTCTCGGGTTCTTTTCGTGGTGTCTGAAGTTTTCAAAGCATGGAGCGGTAAAGGAGTTGCGTGGTTTCGGTAATGTCTTCCTGTTGCTGAAGCTCCCGGGGCGGCGAAATCACAGCATGCCCTTGACAACATCTCTCGCTCCAATGGCCTGTGGTGGAGAATATGCCCACACCTCAGAAATCACAGTGAGAAAACTGTTGCCTAACCGGTTCATTTTTTCATCTTATAATTACCACTTAAAATTGTACCGGCAGCAGGCGAGCTGTATTGGAACAATTTGTAAAGAACCGAGGCAGCGGCAGTGTTGAGTGCACCGGTATTTTCAGTAGGTGTAAATATTTGCCCCTGCGTTGTTCCTATGGAGGTGCCAGGCCCAGATGGACTAGACTGGTTTAAGGCCCCCCCCTTTCTCATTTGCGGTTATTTGATATTTCTGTGAAGCTAGTGTACCATTTGTTTAATACTGCAGTTCTTATGAAACTGTAAACCAGGATTCTGCGAGACGGTTTTCTGGAGGTGGGTGATGGGGGAGGGGGGGCTGAGGGTCCAGAGGATCAGCTTCCCACCGAGGGTACGAGTTGTCCGTCATTCAGTTTTGACCCCTACAACCACAGGTATGTAACCAAATACATTTTTCCTTCTGCAGTATCCTTTTGTTTGTATGCTTTTACGAGCTGATAACCTTTACATTTTGGAGGAATGGTAGGGTTTTTTGTTTTGTTTTTAAGCAATTAAAAATGCTAACCTCTTGAAATTGAAATTCTGTTTCTGCTCAGCCCATATGAGCATTAAGGGGAAGTGAGTCTCATTTTCCCAACCACATATATTAGTTAAAACTTAAATTTCGGTTTCTATCTTGGTTTCTTGCAGTTTCAGGCTCAAGATAAAAATGCAGTAACTTGGTAGATTGGAAGAAAAATAAATGTGAATGTAATTAGATGAGCATATTTAAGCCACAGTCACCTACATAATCAAGGCCAAGTTGTGTGTGTATAGAAGATTTCATTTGTGTAGTCCTACAAAGCTAATGGAAGCATCACTGAGGCTTTATAAATAATGTAAGTTGTGTATAATGTGGAGTCTCCAGAGAGGCAGAGAGAGCATCATTACTAGCCTTTTCAACCTGCTTGAGATCTTAAATTGATTTACAGCACTGAACTGGTGCAAAATGATACATCAGGATGACATGGGGTCAGCCTGTAAAAGTCTATGATGTCAGCCTATTAGTTCAGTTATCATAATTAAACTGTGTTACAGGGGAGGCTAAGCAGGAGTCTGGCATTATACTTCAGATATGGGTGGTACATGGATTTTGTTTATAGTGGAAAAGAGAGGTGGCCACGAATACCAGTGTTTCTGGAAGAGGGGGAGGTTCAGAACTGTGACTTTCCAGGGGAGAGAAGAGACTGGGAGTAAATGCAGAAATGTTGCATTACGTTAAAGACCTGGGTGGGTTTTGTTTTTTTTGAGACAGGGTCTCCCTGTGGCCCTAGCTGTCCTGGAACTCACTATGTAGACCAGGCTGGCCTCGAACTCACAGAGATCCACCTGCCTCTGCCTCCCAGGTGCTGGGATTAAAGATGTGTACCACCACGCCTGGTGTTCAGACCTACTTTTTCATTTGATGGTATACAAACAGGTGCTTTGGAGTGCTGATTAGGACCTTTGCAGTTCTGAGCTATGTATTGAATCATGCTTCCATGAGCTTGAATTTAACCTGGCCTTAGGGACCTTCTTTTAAAATATTGGAGGATCACATATTTTTTTTATCTCTGATTACTTTGTTAGCACCAAGTTTGCACTGTACTGATATATGAACTGACTTGGTATTTCTTGAAGAAATCAGAGTTACAAGTCTTCACTGAAAACAAAGGTATTTAAATCAACATGTGAGCAACTCAGGAAAAAACATGGCATTTGTTTCTGATTAAGTTTTTCATAATCCTTTTTCAACTTATGGGTCATCTTTTGCCAACCTGTCTAGTAAGATAGCAATAACCTCAGCTGTATACTTAATTAAATGTGAAAAATAATTTTGTCTGCACTATCCATGTTTCTAGTGTTCAGTAGCTGTATGTGGCTGGTGGCTGCCATGTTGGATGGAGTGCATATGGGATAGTTGTTACAGAAAGTTTTAGACATCTGACCCAGGACTTTGGCCTGTTTACTTGTTAACTCCACTAATGAGCTTGTAAGGTTAACGAGAAAAAGACATGCATATACCAGTTAATTTTACACCTAACTGTTCTCAAAACAGGCGGCTTGGAAGTGGCAGTGGAAGCTGTGGACTTCCTACAACTCCCTTGTCAGTAGTGACCTGATTTGATTTAGAGCTCTGGGAACGTAGATATTACCACCATAGCATTTCTTTTCCCTCCGTTTTTACTTTGGGTCAGGAGTTGTTTGTAATACATGCATCTCATTTAAGCCTGAACGACTTCCCTGAAGGTCGTTATCACATTTTATAAATGGAGGCAGGAGTGCTCTGCTTGAGGCTCCATAGCTGCGAGGTGATTGTGATTTACGGTCTAAGCTGGGTAGGAATCAAGCAGTCTGACTCCATATGAGCCTCTTTCTTACCTCTGTTTTGTTTTGTTTTGTTTTTGTTTAGAACAGGGCTTCTTAAAAAGTTTAGCAACCCCTTTTTACCTGAGAAATTTTATGACCCTGGGTATAACATAGGTCTGCAAATCAAATATTTACTGACAGGTCCCAAAGAAATTCATTTTAAAGGCCATTAAGATGACTCAGAGGGTTAAGGTGATTGCCACCAAACTGGATGATTTGAGTTCAATCCCTGGACTCCACATGGTAAAAGGGGAGAACTGACTCTCAAGTTGTCCTCTGACCTCCATATAAGGCGCTAGGATTTATACCGCTCCTCCCCAGTAAAAAATGTTAAACATAAGAAATGTACTTAAAACAATTATTTGGTATATGTATCATTTTACTATTTATTAAACATGAAAGCGAGTTTCTGCGCTAAGGAGACAGATGTACTTATTCTACACACACAAAAATAAATACTTGCTGAATATTCGCTACTACAGGACACAGCATCTTCAACATTTTTCAGAGGTGATCAATACTTTGACATTCTCAGTATTGATGATTATAAAAATCAGTTTACCTAAATATGTAGTACAAAATGGCAGAAGTATGTTTAGTACCATTTCAGAAATTATTGGAAATTCTGTCCTAATCCCAAGACAAATTGGTTTAACAATTTTTTATGACACTCAACTCAGCAACTCAAACAGCAGTTTTTAAAGTCAAACGTTCTAACAGTACATTACAGGGGCACTAATTTGATACATGCTGAGGAATAGTAGGAAAATATAAAATTCTTTGCTTTCCATAGTTAAACCAGTACTTTTAGGGACTGGAAAGTTGGCTCAGTGGTTAAGATCACTGGCTGCTCTTGCAGAGGACCCGGGTTCGGTTCCATAACTCTAGCTCCAGGGACTCCAACACCCTCTTCTGACCTCCGCAGGCATTGCACTACATGGGTGCACTTACATACATTCAGACAATACACTCATACACATAAAAATAATAAAATATGTTTAAAACCATTAATTTTATGGCATATATTTGTGTATGTGCAGGGGTGTGCATAACCACACACATGTGATGGTCAGAGGACGACTCATTCAAGCCAGTTTGCTCCATCCACCATATGGGTTCTGGGGGTTGAACTAAGGTTGTCAGGCTTGGTGGCAAACACTGTGACCTGCTGAGCCATCCTGCTGGCCCATGCTGTTAAAAGCTGTGTAAGAGTAGAGAACTTTGTATGTACAGTGGAAAGCACTGCATCTCATCACATAGTGTTGTATCACATCTGAGCCAAAGTGTTTCCCTCAGTGTTTGTTGGTGATCCATGGCGTGAGGGCTTGGGCAGTAAACCAAAGCTTCAGTAGAGTCATACAGTGCACGGGCCAGTGTTGCCAGAAGCACCTTGTATTCCTCACACATTGGATTTTCAGTTAACTTTTGCCTGGTGCATGCTACCTGTTTTTTGAGACTGTGTTTGGTTAGGAAGCGGGGGT